GGATATAGTTTACTTGTGAACCCCAAGGAGTATCCCTGAGATTGACAGCCGGTGCCCCTATTAAGTGAATTCCATATACATTGTTACTTCATACACAGAGTTCTTCATGTCCTTTCATTTACAGGCATCTTTAGCGAAAACGTTGCTATTGTACGGCCATTTCTCAGTAACGGACAGCCAAGTCTAAAAGAGCGCAATTATTACAAGAAAAAAACTGCATGATTCTTGCTTCTCAGAGTTCGTCATGATCCACAAATGGTTTGCTATCGTCAAAGTTCACTTCATCCCGGCTGTGATTGTAGTACAAACTCGACGGCTGCTTCTTACCCATAGCGTTCTTGACCCGTGTTCGAAGAGACGGCCTTAAAGAATTCCCATCCACTGCAAACTGGAAGGTTTCATTGCGTTCGTGGCAGTAACGGTACAACACGATACCCACAATGATAGCAATGATGACTACTAAAATTACCACGATAGCCACTATCGTTCCTGTTGAGATGGATTTCTTTTGAGCTAATGGCTGTGCAGAGGTTACTGTTCGGAGTAAAGTTTTAAAAAAATGGAAAGTGAGTTTTGTTTATGCAAACTGAATTCAAATCGTGCTTTTGCAAGCTTGTTTAGGGATTACATTTCGAATAAAAGACCTCGCCAAAAATACAATCGGGATACTTCCCCCCTCTCCCTTACTTCATACTACCTTACCAAAAGTTATACTCCCTACTCTTACTTAGGTGTCCTACCCTACCTTACTCCTTTGCTGGCTACCCCTATCCCATCCAAGTGTAGTTAACTACTACATTCTACCCACCCTTTCCTACCTTACCTCCACTTCCCTGCTACCCTACTCCCTCCATCCCTACTTTGCCAACTGCTCCCTTCCTTATCCTAACCTACCCACCCTACCCTATCCCAACTTACCACGCACTCCCAACCCTACACCACCCTGTTCTACCCTACACTACTCTACTGTTCCCCCTCTCCTCCCCTGCCTTATACTTTCCTACTGCCCTTCTCTCCATTCCTACCCTACCCTTCCCTATCACACCCTAACATACCCTGCCTTTCCCTACCCATTCAACCCCTCCCTTCCCTACCCTAACCTACCTTACCCTACGCTAATCTACCTACACTACCCTACCCTGCACTACCCTGCCCCACTCGTCCCTTCCTCACCATAGGCTACTCTACTTTACCTCACTTTACCCTATTCGACCCTATTCTACCCTACCCATTTTCCACCCACCTTACCTAATCATGCCATACCCTACCCAAGGCACCTCTACTTTACCCTGCCCTACCCTACTCTTCCCTAGTTTATTATACCCTGATCTTCCCTTCACTGTCCTACCCTTCGCTATCCTTCACTGTCATACATGCTCTGCCTTACCCTATTCCATCCTTTGCTTTCCTACCCATTCTTACCTCACCTAAGCCTTCTTGGTATTGCAGCCCCACCCGTTACCATCTTACCCTGTTCCGGATCAATGCCATCCACACGAAGTACTGCCGACTTCCTGTCCTCGCCATATTTATTCTTATAAACGCATGTGTACTTTCCAGCGTCCGCGACTGTAACCACAAACAACTGAAGGGAACCGCTCTGAGCGTTAATGGTTACTCTCTTGGATGGCTTAATAGTCTCGGAATCCTTAAGCCATGTCAGCTCAGGCTCTGGAGCGCCCAAACCAAGACAGAAGAAAGTCACATTTGCTCCAGAGAGGACAGAAATGTCCTTCGGAGGACTGGAGATAATCGGCGGACCTAGACAAAACAACACATATTGCTGGTTTCACTGTTATGCCATCAAGAATAAACTTGGCAACCAATAAATAAATAAAGTCAAGTAACTGAGATATGATAGAGGATTGATTTATATAAACTACCTTGCCTAGATTTAGATCTGTGCGGTGTTTTGGCAACTACGTTATTCGGAAAAATATTATACATCCAAATTTAAAGAGCTTTGTTTGGAGACACCATCTTGGTGTGTCTCGGAGGTGCACCAATATGGCGGCCGTGAAGTAACAGAAATATCTGCCATTTAGTTTTTATTATTATTATTATTTTGAAATATGACAGTCTCGCGCGATAACCAGCAATTACAATCGTTATTCATTGCACAATCTCTGGTCTTAGAACGTACAAATAATATAATAGGTTACGATCCAAATAGCAATCCTGGGCTACAGGACAAACCTCTAAATTTGATCCTTTTCGGGGTTGAGGGAAAGATAATTTTGACCTAAACCCTCGGGGCCATGTTAGAATATTCGGCTACATACAAAGTGGACTATTCTGTATCTCGTGTCTTTTTGTAGAGCGCGGTCGCATAGCTACAGGGGTATGTTGTCTTATGCAAAGCCTTACGCGTGTGCGCATGTCTGTAAGGGGTGTCCGCTGCCCATCGCGATTGCGAAAAATACGTATGCAGTAAATACCGACGGATAAGCCGCACTCGCAAATAAGCCACACCACGAGTTTGGCAACTCAAATTTCAGAAAAAGTTTTAGGGAAGAAATCAAAATAATTCACGAGTGGAGTCTTAAGAATGATTCTATACATGTAGATTTCTTGACTTACTGAATGTAAACCGGCGTGGTGAAAGTAAAAAAATAAGATCTGAAGTAGCCGAGAGAGTGTTTGAAGAACATCAGGTGAAATCGATCAATAAAAAGTATTTTTGAACCGGCAAAATAAGCTAAATGATTGAAAATTGCATACAAATTATTGCTTCGCCCAACGTCTTGGTTCTGGTCAATGCGAAAATTGTATAATGTAGAGAAGGTAACGCCTAATGTATATACTGAGGATAAACAAACTAAAACAAAGTAAATAAATATAACGAAACTTGCCAGTTAAGAGCACAGTTGCCAGCCACACACGAATGCTGCCACGATTCCATGCAATACAAGAGTACACAGCAACGTCTTCTTTGGTAACTTGCCGTATTTGTAATTGGCTCGCAGTGTAACCTCTGCTCGAGGCTGAGTATGTTGTGACAGTATTTTTAGTGCCATTCGTTACCAGTTCCCCGTCTTTCTTCCAAGCTATTTGAGGTCTGGGGACCCCTGTTACGTTGCAATGGAGAGTAACCTGGTCTCCCTCAGTTGCAACAGTGTCCCTGGGGTAGTCTTTGAATTCAACAGTCACTAGAGAGGAAAAAAATTATAAATAAAAGAACAGGTGAAAGTTTGTTTACCGCAACAAACAACATTTGTTTGCTGTACAGTTCGACATAGAGAAGCCATTTAAACACCTGTCAATCAAATGCAAGACAGACACGCTGACATCATTCTTTGTACTGACTGGTTGTAAAGCAATTGAAACATTTTGAAATTAACGCGTATTTCGTGCAATGTTTACGTATTTATCAATGAAGAGAGTTTAGCCTTTGAAAACGCAAATGGAACAAAAAGAAGCCAGATTGTGAGTTAGAGAATCTGGCTCTAAATCACCCACGCAACGAGAAAAATCTTTCCATGTTAATAAAATTAAGCAACCAATTTATCACTTTTACTGTACTCGAGGGTACCACGTTAAAATCAAAGGGTATTTTACATTATAAAAAGTTTTCAGTGCAAAACGATATATATTATTAGTTTCTTAATTGTCAAGACTTATGACATATTTTAGCTTTCGAGTAACGTTTAAATAGCAAGAAATATTTCTTAACTGAAAGGAAAAAAGCGACCGTTTATGAGCAGTAATTCCAACACTCACATCCGACGATAAGAGACGCATTTGCGCGGGCCTCCCCAAGTTCGTTGATCAGGGAACATTCATAAAGCCCTGCGTCCTCAAATTGAACGTTTTTAACCTTCATCATATAACTGCTGTCTATGAACTCGTATCTCGCAGAGCGAGTGAGATTCTTCCCTTTGAATTTCCACGTGATATTACTTGGAGGGTAACACGACACGATACAGCTTAAATTCGCATCGCCATCCCTGCTGACATCTGCAGACAGGACGCCGAGAATACGCGGTGCCTCTGTGTAGAAAGACAAAAACACGAGAAAACCATCAGTTGAGAAAAGTGAGTAAACTTGCTTTTTCTATTCGTGCACTAAATTCTCCTTCGTTGAGGAAATGTTCAAGATTCCACCCCAAACAGTCCTTCCTGATGACGTAACCAGTCTCTCTGTCCCTTATTGGTCGGTGCTCGTCTTTGACTTTTCCCGCGCAAATAACAACCAATCAAAAACATTTCTGTTGACCTGTATCATCAGTGTGAAATCCACCGTAGGAAAAAAGATGGCGGCTTTACATTCTACCACAACGCCTTTTGAACCTAACACAGACTTTATGGCAAAATGAAAGCCAAATTTTTATATTTGTTCCTGTACAAAGGACATTGTGCAGCCGAAGTTTGAAGATTTTACAACTTTTCTGTACGTTTT